GATCTGGTCCTAGTATTATTTGGGGTTTGCATGAAAATCTGGCAACTACTGATTTTGGTGAAACCTTATCCTCCATTCTGCCACCTGAAGCAAAAACCCTGGCTCAGTGGAACCCTAGATTCACAAAAGTGCCCCTAAAAACCTGGGCCAGGTTCACTGATGGTTTAGCTAAGTTGAAACCTGCTGGTATGGACTAGGCTACTATGGCTGTTCAGCCTGAGGGCCAGCTATGCAGAAGCAAAAAAGGACGTGGTTATTCCACTCAGTTGGGTAGAACTCTAGCCAATACTCCACCTGGAGAACCTTGTTATATTTTTACTTACTTTTGGGCTATGGCCAATGACCTAGTTACTTAGTTTGCCATTTGGAAAACTAGACTGGCATATTCAAGACATTCCTCTTTGGGGCTGCAAACTATAGAACCAAATCGTTGCTACTAAAGGAACCATCTGGGTCACTTATGTAGATGCACACAATAAGGGCATGTTCTCAGTGAGATTGACAAACCAAGCTGCTGAATGAGCCTCTCTACTCCCTGGATTGCCACCATTGCTGCCTAGATTTATCATTATACTGGACACAACAACACATCCACCATCAGAGCTGGGCACAAAATAAAGAAGTCAACTTTGGGGAAGTTTCTGATGCAGAGGCTACCACTTCATGCCAGACTTGACTCCTGCCAAAAGTTGACCCATTTATCTTGCTGCGAGAGCGCCTGCATTGCAGATATCCCCCCTGCTCCTAACATTGGACTTTGGGCCCCTTTGCATGTAACTGGTTGACACTGTTTTCAGGTTATGGTATTACTTTCAGTCCACTCAGAGGACTCCAGCTACTCTTCTGTAGTCCTTGAAAATATCCTTGGTCATGTCCTTGGCTTTCTGGGTCATTTGCAGTAAAAAAATGGTATGCAAAATCCCCTAAAAAATGGGCTGGAAGTCAGGTTATATGATGGGCCTTTCATGGTCCCCACCATCCTCATACATCTGGTATTGTTGACCATTGCAACATTCTATTAAAAAAGAAAAAGACTTAAAAAGATTTCTGACTGGTCTGTTCTTACCTCCTCCAGGTCCGTATTTCTTAAACTAAGTCAGTTTGGTCACTGATTGAAGCTCTTTCCAGAGAGACAAATTCCTTTCAGCTGCTCCCTGGGTAATGATCAGGAAAAAGAGAGTGGTGGGTTATTTATCTACTTTGAAAATTTGAGATTCCACCTTGACCATTCCTGGGCATAATTACATCTGTTTTTCCACTAATGGCAACCCCAAGTTGGCCTGCTTTGTATACTCGTATCCTCGATGTGGCAACCAAGCCATAAAGGGCCTAGGGGATTCAAAGAATTTGGTTCAGTCACTTACATTCTCTTATTTTATTGATATTGTGCTATATCATAAGAATAATGTCCACTTGGTTGAATATACTGCTCGCCTAGCCCTCCTACAGTGGCCCACATGGACCAATGTGGAGGGCAAAATGGGTCTCTGTAAATTTTATTAAAATGTCCTGATTCCCTTTTGGATCTGACTCTTCTGGGTTAAAGGTCTAGGTAACATTAGGAGGTGACTGGGAGAAAGGTGAAGTTGTAACAATCTGGAACTCTTTCCGTCTATGCTGAAATGTTAGGAGTTAGACTCGTCTAGGTCATCCTCCTTACCTCGTCAGTTTACGTCTTTCTAAATTAGAAGATATTAGTAAGAATTCTAAGGCTTTTGTTGATTTATTTTCTTTCCTCAGAATTGCTTCTAGGGCCAGAGGAAGTGTTAGGAATAAGGTGATTTTGCAAATCACACTAGCATCCCTTGTCTGCTCGGCTGCCATGTTTTGAAGTTAAAGACAAAGACTTGCATCCCATTCTCTCTTAAGCTGCTGTTTGTGAATTTTTTACCTTTGAGTATTATATTTTTTATTTGTTTTATTATATATTAGTGTAAAGATTTTTCCACCCTGCTTTATTTCCCCATTTTTACCTAGAAGTCTCCTTACTACATATCCAGCATCAATCATTTCCGGTTTTCATGAAATGTTAGTAAAATTCTTTTCAATGATTACTAAACATTTCCTTATGGTCAGTTGAATTTAATTTTCTTCCTGACTAGGAAAAAAAAAAAGAAAAGAAAGAAAGAAAGAGAACTTTCTTAGTTTGCTGCTGCTTCTAAAATTAGTTCTGTCAGCATCCTCATACTTGTTATTCATCTGTCCTAGGAACCCATTGCACTTTTTTATCACTCCCTTTCCAATATATTTGTTTTATTGTGGGATATAATATACATACAGAATAATGCATAAAACATGTGAACATTATAATGGATAATTATAAAGTAACCACCATTGTAATCACTACCCAGGTCAGAAAATAAAACATGGCAAGTATATCAGAAGCTCTCCATCAACCCCATGCCCTGCCCTGATCCCAGTCCCATCACATCCCTCCAGCGATGTCCACTGTCTTGACTTTCATGATAACATTTTCTTACTTTATATTTTACTACTTATTTTTGCATTCTCAAACAACATAGTTATGCACATACTTGTCATCTTATTGCTTATTATTTTTCAGCATTTGTGAGATTCTGTCACATTTTATGTGGATGCAGTTAGCTCATTTCTAATGTTGTAAAATATTCAATTGACTGGAATATAGTTTAAATGTGTGAATGTAATTTATTAATCCCACCATTTTGATGGAAATTGGGGTTGTTCCCAGTTTGGGGCAATTTTAAACAATGCTGCTATGAACGTTTTTGTGGCATGAGACTCTCTGGGGTATATATAGATAGGTGGAATTGCTGGTTTCTAAATAGATCATATGTTCAAATTAAAATTTAAAGATAAAGCCACACCATTTACTAAGATGGTTGTACCAATTTACATTTTACCAACAATATATAAGGAAGTGTCCCTGTAGCTTTGTTTCCTGAATAACATGTTGATACTGTCAGGCTTTTAATTTTATCAGTGTGGAATCTTATGGTGTTTTTGTCTTTTTGTTGTTGTTTGTTTTCTGTTAACTTTATTCAGGCATAATTTACTGTATTAATCTGTAGGGATGCCATAAAGTACCACAAATTGGCACTTTAAAACAATAGAAATCTATTGTCTCTAAAACCTATAAGGTAGAATCCTTCCCTGATTCTTCTAGTTTCTGATATTTGTCAGCAATCCTTGTCACTCCTTAGTTTATAGCTGCATCACACCGTTCACTCTCTCTGTTGTCACATGGTGGTCTTCTCTGTGTGTCTCTCCTGTAATAAAGATATCAGTAATACTGTATTAAGGTCACAGCCTACTCCTGTATGACCTCATCTTACTACATCTGCAGTAACCTTATTTTCAAGTAAGGGTACATTGTAAGGTATTGGGATTTGGACTTCAACATGTCTTTTTGAGAGACACAATATCCTGTCTTCAATTCACTGATCCTATCTTCTGTCTGCTTCTGTGTGCTCTTTAACTCTTCGAGTAATTCTTTTCTTTTCAGTTATGGTACTTTCTGATCCAGAATTTCTATTTGGTTTCTTTTTATAATTTCTCTCTTTATTTACAATTTATTCGTACATTGTTTTCTTGGTTTCTTTAGTTCATTGTCCATAGTTCCCTTTAGCTCTGAGTATATTTAAGAAAGTTGTTTTTAAATCTTTGTCTAGTAAGTCCAATGTCTGGGCTTCCTCAGAGGTTGTTTCTATCATTCTTTTTCTATAAATGATCCATATCTCCTGTTTATTCATATGCCTTATACTTTTTTATGGAAATTGCGCATTTTAAGTATTATAGCGTAACTCTAGAAATTAGATTCTCCTTTTTCAGGGATTACTGTTGTTACTTTTTTTTTTTTTAAGATTTTTATTGGGAAATTGGGGGGATGGGAACAGCGCTGGGGAATTGGGGGAGGGGAACAGACAAATTGCTGTCCTTTTGTTCTTCAGTCTAGTTGTGGAGGACGTCGCTTCACTGGCCCAAGTTGGCACCATCATTGCGCTCTTCCCGGGCGAGGCAGATCAGTCTTCTGGACGGCCGCTCACTGTGGCTGTTGGCCGCTCATGCTGGCTGCTGGCTACACACCGTAGCCCATGGCAACCCACTGCCATAGGGGCTGCAGCCTATGCCGTCGCAGGCGACTCTTGGCAGCCCAGCTCCAGGTTGAGCTGTTGTTCAGCATCTTAGCTGTGGAGGGCAGTGTCACTGGCCCTCATATGTGGGATCCGAACCGGGGCCCTCTGGCGTCCCAAGCCAGTTCTTAACCATCGCGCCACTCGGCCGGCCCTGTTGTTACTTTTTGAGGGCTGCAGTCATCTATTTATTTTGTGACTTACCCAAACTATTTTTGCAAAGACTGTATTCTTTGTTGTTTTTGGTCAGTCACTGAAGTCTCTGTTCCATTATCTTAGTAGCCAGGTAATGTACTAAAATGACCTAACAGATTTCCAAAAACTCCAAAACCAATGCCCTGGTTGCTATAAGTTTTGTGTTAGACTCTGAAGTTTAAAATAATTGATCTGTCACTCTTGGAAAGTTTATATTTGTCTCAGCGGAGGTATCAATTCTTTGAGCATTCTACTTCACCATTTTCCATAATGTCATTTCTCCCTTAATTTTGATATATGCCTTCTTTCATATTAATCTTATTTTTATTTGTCTTTTAAGTTATTATTTCTGTTTCCTGGGGCTTAGAACAAGACGGGGTCAATAATATACAAAGTAATATCATGTGTCGTTGTTATTGTTGTTGTTGTTTGATGCTTGCCATTTCCTACCTCAACAACTACTAATACAATGTGTCAGCCATGCAAGCTATCTCACCATTTCTGGTTACACTGGTTAAATTGTAAATCAGTTATTTTTCTAATATAAGATAAAGCCAAATGGTAACATTAGATCTAATTTTATTATTATTTATAGCCATCAATAATGCTAAATTTAAAAATATTTGTATTTAATTATTTTTCCTATTCACTTTTTCTGATCTTTTTTTATTTCAGCGTTCATATTATTTCTTTAACACAATGAATGAAAACATAAAGGCCCCTAATTTTGTAGGTGAGTTATTATTTGTATATATATTGTAATTTCAAATATTCAGTGAAATTGAGAACATGAACTCATATAACAATTATTATCAAGATTTTCCTTCAAAATGTAAATCACACTATTATGTTTTGTGATTACTGGTATGAAAAAAACCTATAGAATTATAATATTAGTGGGCTATCAAGCAAAGCAAAATACAGGTGGCCTTAAAATCCTAGATAATATTTATTTTTATGTATTATAATATTACTAAAACATTTATTATGTTTATCTGTATTTAAAAACATCTTGGCTACCCAGTAGATTTATCTAGTGAAGGCATTTTTCTAATTTAAGGAGTTGTTCAATGACATTATGAAGACACAACATTATCAGTAAACCCAAAGATGATAATCAAAATATTTAATAACTAGTACAGCATGAGCATGGGACAACCAGGTCAGACAGTACTGTTGGATCAGAGTTCTGGAGGTTTCCTGCTGTGGGATGAAGGAAATGGGGGATTCCTAAGAGAATCCAGGTAGCCAAGGAAATAAATGTAAGGTGGGCACTTGAACATCTTGAGGCAGCAACTTTTTACAAATTAGTATAGAAATGCTTCAGTATTTAACAATTGGAACAGTCATAACTGTGTAGTGACTGAATATCCATCCAGAGGATATTGCAGTAATATATTAAAATGAAGAGAAAATAAGACGATAACTAGAACACTTGACAGGGAAGATGAGCCAGCAAACACATTTCTTTGTAACATGCAAGTGTCCTTGGATTGTAGAACATGTACTCTAATTAAGGACTTATGGGGGGGAAAGTATCAAATGAGAGTATGATTGAGAAGTATATTTTTAGAACAAAGTCCCAAAAAAAGGAAATTTCACTTATCTTGAGTAGTTGAATGTGGTGAAATAAAAATGATTATAAATTAATGCTGTTGCCATGTATCTCTGTATTTATACATATATATGTACATACATATATGTATTTATAAACCAATTCTATACAATGATAACAGTTCCAGGAACATATATTGGGGTGCGGGAAGCTATTTTGAGACATAAGATGTCAGTTTCAGAAACTAATACTTTAAATGTCAGGAAAAATTTAAAGACTGCCTAAATTATTATTCTAGAAAACAAAGTGACCATTGGGAACAACATGCTGTAGTAATTAAGGCATCTTGGGAGATCGGGATATTTTGGCACCCATAATATGATTCGATTCCTACAAAACTTTTATTCTAATACCCTCTGGATTCTTCAAACTATAGAACAATTTTTGGAGTAAATAAAACAGCAAGCAAGCTCCTTATTCAAGTGTTTTTAACTATTCCTTGAAAAAGGGAAATATTCTATCAAGTTCTAGAAAATATTACTGAGGGGATAAATGATCTCACCCCTGCCTTGCCACTAACTAGCTCTGTAAACTTAGACTATCATTTGGCTTACAAAAGCCCCAATTTTGCCATTTTAAAAATGAAAGAGTGGAACTAGGTACTAAAAATAAATATTTCAATACTTCTTTGTGGTTGCCTTATATTGCTTTAGTTAATCATCATAACTTTGTAAATACTTAACATGTATTAATTTTTTCAAATCTTCATACAAGTCTGTGAAGTTGACACTACTATTCTAGCTTTACAAATGAGGCAACTGAAGTATGGAAAAACTGAGTAATTTGAAAATTCTGTAAAAGAAGTGTGTGATACAAGCCAGTGGTTCTTTCCCCTCTGAAGAGTGAAAAGCCTTTATAAGCAGTGTCAGTCAGATACAGAATTGGAAAGAACATCTATGATGTGCCTTTTTTAAAAAAGTAAATGCTTAGGGTGGAAAACAGGGCTTATTTTCTTACGGCTCACTCTTGTCTTGCTTTTGGGCAGGCCATTTCCTGGATTTTTCTCATTTTTAAAATGAGAGAGATGGTTTTAAGACTGTTAAATCTCTTGTTTCATCAAAAGTCTATATTCCTGAATTTATATCTGAACACCCTTTTAAAAAAGACTAAGGTTCCTAAATATATATTTTAAATGATTTTTTTTTTTACTTTGGGTTATGCTTTTCAGTTTACTCATGCAGACCAGTCTTATATAATTAACTCAATACTTCTATAGATACATTATGTAAATCAAATGTAGTATGTTAAAGAGTTAATTTAGTAGGGCTCATATAGAACTCTTGTTGAATTGCTTGATTATTATTTCCTGTAAGCGGATTAGAGGCTTGTGCCTAGCCCAGTTACTTTGGAGCTGCTTTTATAGATACCCTCTGACTCCTGACATTTATGTACACATGTTTTAGACTAGAGCCACAATTCATTGAAGACCATGGTCATTCCACTCCATATATAAATTGTTTTAATTTCTTATGTAAGAATCCTCTCTAGGGTCATGAATTGAATTCTTAAGGAAATGACAATTATTGTCTGTCCACACAGCTTTACAGAGTTGGGTATGTATAGCAAATGTATGATGGAAGATTACCCAAGCGACTGCAAGAGGATAGGCTAAAATGAGGCTCCAAGAAGGATGAGTAAAAGCAATCTTTTAAACGTCCAGTTGAGCACTGCTTTGAATAATGTGCATAAATTTTACTAGCCACAAAAACATTCAGAACCACCTAGAGTGCAATGACGAGATTTTTTTTTTTTCGAACTGGCATTAAGAGCCAGAAAAGTAGAAGTATTCAATACATTGACTGTAGTCTGTCTAAAAGACAGTCTTTTATGTACATAAAAGTGCAGGTCATGATGACATTCAATTCTAATAACTTGTATGCTTTTTAATAATACTCTTGAAAATACTAATTGGAGTTATTAGGTGACAGGCCCAAGGGTGCAATGTGTCAGGAACCATAGCAAAAGGAGTAGTAAGGATGGTAACAAAAAACAACAAAATTTGCATTCATTTTGTGCTTATTATGTTCCATGCACAGTATTAGGTGCTTTAGGCCTTTAAATCACACCACAGCCCTAAGAGGGAGGATCTTTATCATTTGACAAATGAGGACACTGAGAGAGAGGCAAGATAACTCGTGCAAAGTCAGATGGTTAGTTAGTTGCTGAGACTATTTGAGAACAAGCAGTGTGGATCCAGAGTGTGCGCTCTACATCGCTTTGCTGCACAATCATTAGTTAGAGACATGTGTAGAACATGCTTGTCAAATGCCACAAGTGCCAATTTATTTATATAATCTTTAAAAAAAATTTTTTTTCAGATGGGTTAATGCAAAATAAGGCCTATGGGCAGCTAAATACAAATGAAAAAGGAAAAGCAGTAAGTAGATGATATAGCCTTTAAAAATCATTGTTAATATTTTACATTGTTTTGAGTTAATACTGACAATATTCTGTCATCAAGACAGCATGTACTTTATTATTATGAATTTATGATAAATCTACTTTATTATACATTTGTCTTAAAATTTATTATAAATTTATAGATTACTATACAGCAATATAACATTAACTCTAGCAGGCTACCCTATTTAATTCTTTACTTCTGCCTCCCCCAAAATAGCTATTGCTTAATAGGCAACATGCAATAGCACCAGGAAATCAGACTATCTCTGCCCATCTATTGTGATATGAACAATTTTAAGGAGCAATTTAACAATGATAACAATTTAACATTTGGGATGATAAAAACAATTTTATCATCCCAATTTCCCATTAATACTTGAAATTAATTATACTGGATTCCTTTCTTTGCACCTTGAAAATTTTTAATCGTTCAAGATTCAGCTATCTACATGCCATGCCAGGCTACCAGCAGTAAGTATTTCAGAAATGGAACAGGACTTGTGTGGTTTGGGATGAGGATCAGGCAAGAAAGAAATACTGAGATGAAAGGTGAGAAGAGAAAGAAAAACTTGTTCAACTTTATATTTTGCACTCAGTAGGTAGGAACCATGCTCACACAGGAGAGGAGATTCTAAGTTCTAAAAGAAGTATCACTGCTTTTCCTTGCAGTTTTTTAATGACTAACTGCCTCCTCAACCCAAGACATTGGAACTCCATGCTAATACTCTTTTCAGAGAATAGAATTTGATATGAGGATGTCCTGGATCCAAGCAAAAGGATTTAATCACTTTAAAGATAGCAATCCCAGTTTCCCAGGACATTACTGATTCCAATACTCAATCCAGTTGTCCCAGTAATCCATTAAAATGTCCTGAAAATTTTAATGATTTAGTATTCAAACTACTTCCTCCAGACTGATTAATGCACCTAAAAATAGCACAAATTCCCATCAGATTATTGGCCTAAACTTTGTTTAGAAAAAAACCGGCATACTATCTACAAGGCATCATGTTGTTACAGCAGGAGTATCCAATTTTGAGTCGGAAGACTTGGATTCCAGCACCATTCTCTTGCCTATTACCTAAAGTTTAGAAGAAACCAATTCATGAAACATTTATTGAGTACCTATGATATACCACACACCATGCTACTTAATAGTTAATGATGACATACTATAGATGGGCACATATTAAGCTTTTTATGTGCATTATTTTATTTAATCCTCACAGCAAAGTAGGCATTATTATTGTTTACATTTTGCAGATGAAGAATCTGAGGCTCAGTGAGGTTAAATAAATTGTACAATGTCACACAATTAGTCAGAGCATTGGATTTGATCAACCACCTTCTCCTGCCCCCCTAACCTTGAGTAATTAAAAATACATTAGTGAATGTAGCTGACGGAAAAGTAAACAGGGAATTATAATAACGGCTACACTAGATGAATGCACAGGGTGCGTTGGGAGCATCTTGTGAAGAATGCAGGAAAGGGAGGGCAGATATGGGTAATAAAAGTCCTTTTTAACAAAAAAGGAGCAATTCAATGAGATAATATGTAAAAACTATTTTCTAGTGCCTTGCACATAAACTTGTATTGTGTTGGCTGAATTGAACTGAACCCCATAGCAGTGGCATTCCCAGGAGCATTCAAGCAATTCCTATTGTGATAGGATCAACGAACTAGAGAAATGGAGATTTTATATCTACTTCAACTCAAAATATTTTGACAAAGATAAATTTTATCAGAAATATGCAGTCCTAGAGGTCTCCAGGGGACTTGCTCCGAGACTCCTAGGCAAAGTACAAAGCATTTCCTAAATGCCAGCGTACTAAGGACTGTAATCATAGTTATTCATCTTCTCTGCCAGAAGGTAAGCATCCTGAGAGCTGGGAGTTCCTGTGTCTTGTTTTCCCAGAATCTGGAACAGTGTCTGGAACCTTGGCACTCGATAGATACTTTTCAAATGAGCACCTACTATGTGCCAGGCACTGTGGATACAAAAATGAAAATAATATAGTTCTTGACTTCAAAGACCTTATAGCCAGGTAGAGGAAAAGACCTACGTGAAGTAAACCATTATATTACAGTAACATCTTTGTTTTAAAGGAGACCAATTTACAAAGTACAGTAGGCATAGGTGAAGTAGAACTGACAGTTAAAGATGCTCTGACAGCTGGCTCAAGATTGGGCTTGATTCCATATTCACTATGGCACTTCCAATGCTGGCACATTACCACCAGAGCTATAGCCCATCCTTGTTAACTGATTATATGACCATAACCTTTACCAGATTGGGCCAGGGTATTTATCTCATTCATCTTTCTGTCTTCTGGCCCTGGCACAGTGGTACAAAGTAGTCACCCGATAGATGTATTTTGTCTATTTGCCATGTGGGTTTTGGCTTATTGCTGTTACCGCTAATGGTTTCTGTCAACAAGTGCCCTGTGACTTATTCCTAAAGGCACTGGTAGTGTTAGGAAAATGCCCACAAGTATAGTCTAAATATACTTTCCTACTCCCAGGAACACTACATTCCTCAATCTCTCTAAGAGCACCTGCAGTCAAGGCTAAAGGCTGCCTGTGGATGTGGGGAGCTGCCTTCCATGACCCTCCAAGGATCAAAATTGGGGGCAGTAAAGACATAGGGAGGGAGGATGGTATTCAACCCAGAAAACCCTGCACATAATCAGTATATTTCTTTGTTAAAAACACATACAGGGACGCTGGTTGGCTCAGGTGGTTAGAGCGCGCAGGGCACAGTGCTCATAACACTAAGGTTGCTTGATCGATTCCCACATGGGCCAGTGAGGTGCACCCTCCACAACTAGATTGAAACAACAACTTGACTTGGAGCTGATGGGTCCTGGAAGAACACACTGTTCCCCAATAAAATGTGAAAACAAAACAAAATATAACAAAAAACAGTATGTACCATATTAAAAAAAACCATGCAGTATTTATGTGATTGCTATACGAAAGTTTACCACTATAAAATATATGCACAAGAAGAAAAGATAAATGGGGGATAAAGGAAAAGGAGATATTTATCATGCCATTAGGGAGAGGCACAGTGGCTAATGAAGAGGAGAAAGGACAGCCTTCATGTATATCAATAGAATAGGAATCAAGATGAGATCTTCCTCTAATTCCTAAGGTAAAGACATCCCAACTTAACTTTGCAAATCATTATTGCAACTGTGTAAACTAAAAGAAAAAAAAAAGACGTTACTATAAGATCATTGAGCAATTAAATAGCAGTGCTAAAGAAACCTACAAATACTCAGAAGTTTTATATTAAGATGAAGAGACTGCAGTTCTGCCAAGGTGGAATAGCCCCATTCCTTGCAGGTCCTCCCCTTACAACTAAAAAAAAAAATACATAAAACAACAAACAAGCCTAGGAAGTCTCTGAAACATGGAAAGAAACAGGTAAGCTGCCTGGGGACCTCAGGACTTGAGGAAGACATGGTGGTAAGTTCTCTAAGTGTCCTTATTGGCGCCCACATATTCTGAACAAGATGCTACAGAAACCTCCAACCAGAAGCTTCTGATAGGCACAGACAAAAAAGCTCGGAAAGCTTGTCCCCTCTAGCCAAGGGACCTAGAGGATAAGTTAACAGCAGAAAATGGTTTTGGCAATACCCACCCTACTCCAGTCAAACACCAATGGAAACACCACACTTCTCTGCGCACACTTATGGTGTCAGTCGGTACAAGCACGAAGTTGATCGATCTCATACCCCCACTGCCACCCCTGGGAAGCAGATGATTCACTCTGAGTTTTCCATTCAGTGGCGGTAGGACCAAACTGGCAGCCTGTCTTCCATCGCCACCAAGCAGAACAAGGCAATGTTCTGATTCCCCTGCTAGGATAATGTTGGTGGGGCTAAGCTGGAAGCTGATCTTTCATCCCCTGCCAGGTGAAAGCAGGCAGTGCTCTGACTCTCTCACCATGGTAGTGTCAGTGGGGTGCAGTAGTCAGCTGAGCCCCTATCCACACTTAATTACAAGATTTAATGGGGCTGTGCAATGTAGTCCTAGTCACCACTAGACTTCATCATCCCACTATTAGCAGGATTCAGTGGGGAACTGAGTCTCCACCCTCACTTGGCATCAATGAGACAAAACTATTGGGTTGTCGGAAAAGTCATGACACATTTTTGCAACGAAAACCATAGAAAAAAATACATCATGACTTCTCCGGTAACCCAGTAGATGGTGGGAGGCAGGCTGCATGGCACTCTGCTTCTTCCTCTCCATCCCCTGGATGGAGCCTAGTGGAGAGATGGTCTGACACCCACACTTGGAGGAAAGAGGTGGTGTGAATGGTTGCCCCACTTTCACTGAGAAGGTGTCAGCAGGGCCTGGGATGGAGCTCAATGTCCATCCCATCTGCCTGCAACAAGGCAATGTGAGTCACTGCCCCACTTCTGCTGGGGTGGTGTCCAGTGAGCTTTAAATGTAAATGGTCTAAATACACCATGTAAAAGAGAGAGTTGGCAATGTGAATTAAAAAAAAGCAAAAAACATGATCCAATAATATGCAGTCTATAAGAAATTAACTTCAAATACAATGGCATAGATAAGTTCAAAGCAAAAGATGGGGAAAATATATGCCATGCAAAATTTAATCATAAAACACAACAGCTGTAATAATTTCAGATAAACTAGATAGACTTCAGTGCAAAGAAAATTACTAAAGACCAAGAGGGATGTTATATAATAATAAAAGTATCAATCCACCAGGAAGACATAACAATCCTAAATCAACAAAGCCTCAAAATACATGAGGTAAAATCTGATAGAGCTGAAAGAGGAAATAAAATCCACAATTATATTGGGGAGATCAACACCCAATGCTCAGTAATTTATAGCACAACTAGACAGAAAATCAACAAGAATATTGAACAATGCAACCAACCAACAGGATCTGACACTCTACCCAAAAACAGCAGGATACACATTGCTTTCAA